TCTCAACCGAGGGGATTGACTGCCCTCCAAAATCTAGAAATATACCCTACTCAGAAACCGTCATCTTACTCTAGAGAATTAATACAGCACCATGAGGGGAAGCGGTAATCCAAGTAGGGAGGTAAAACTCAAATACGACAGAACTCCGGTAAAGGTCAATTATCACAGAATTAAGATTACTTGTACCAATAATTGCCCTCGACCAGGGAACATGACAATATTCCAACCTCTCCTTACTTTGAGGTCCTCAGCATGATCCACAAACATCGCGCAACGCTCTGAACAAAGGGGCGTTCAAAATAAGGAGCCCGTAAAGGTTGATGAAGGCAAAACCCCGGACCAAATCCAGAATTTCTATTTCCATCCCTGTTGTAAAGTTACCTATCCCTATTTCCCCCCTCCGATCGTGAAAATATGCAAACTCACACAGGCGAAGAGGTACTAATGGTAGGCACAATCAAACAGGAAATASTTGATGAAATTGAATTCACGAACTCCAYGCGGCAGAACAACAATCAGTCACACCAGCTTACCTGGTCTGCCACGTGGCCATTCCTATATTCTATACCGCCGCAAGCCGTGAAATCGCCAAAAACACTTGGCAAGAGCAACTGACACGTGGCCTCACCCACCCCTCCTATGMTGCCAAGCACACCTTGCGACCCGATTATCCACCCATCGYTATCCCACCCCTTCGCGCCACCATCCCACCCCCGGCATCCCCATCTTACCTTCATATTTACAACACGTTCCGGTCATCCAACCCACTCGCCCCCAATCGGACGCAACGTACACCGGGAGGGAGAACAAAAAGGGGATGCTGGGGAAAGAGGGATAACACTCGCTGCTGCTATTACCGTTGTTGCAATCATTATCCTTCATAGTCGCACGCATGCTAGTGTTCCCTCCTCCTATTCCATTCTCATGCTGAATGTAGTTGTTGTTATCATTGTTGCCATTCTCGCCGTGCGCCACAGCCCTCGGCAATTCATTATTGTCATTAGCGTTGTCGATGTTATGGATTTGAGTGATGCAGGAGAAATGATTATCGTCGTCGCTATTGGCAGTCGTGGCGGCATCGTGTACACTGATGTTGCTGTGTTGCTGTTGTAAGAATCAATCGTGATATCGTCGTCGTCCGCAAACAATCGATCCTCCAATTCGCCGCAGAGACCTTGCCCCTCCTCAAGCTCCTCTTCGCAGCGTCTCATCAGTGCATACAATCGTGGCCGATGTATAGAAGCTGCCAAATGGGGGGGTGGCCCCTCTTCCAACCCCCAGATTATCTCCAGCATGGATTGCTGGACACTCCGAATCGACGACATCGGCAGCTCCATCCCCTCGGTCACAATCATTCTCAACTTCGCCACCGTCTGGCTTAGCCGCGCAGCACTCACTTGAGCAGTATTGAGCCACCCGACCGCTCCTGACCACTTCTCGTTCACGCTCGCCATCTCCAACCTCAAAACCCCACGTCATGCACTACAACACAGGCTCAGAGAACTGCGTCACTGTTATACAGTAACCTCCAATCAATCACAGCTGGCGCTTCCCCTGTTCACACGTCGCGGGGCGTCAACGCCACCAAACGACAGGTGGCACGTGGCAAGCTAAAAGCCACGGCCACATGTCGGGCGCGTGCACAGGCCCAGCGGCCTGGAGGGGGCTCACCTCTCCAACACGCTGGTCAAGCCGGGTGCGGCCGGGCCTTGCCGGTCGGCCGGCGTTAGGGCGCTAGCGCTAGCGCAGTTCCAGGCTTTAGAGCCTCTTAACACTGAGTAGTATTGTGTTCTACCTTATATCCTACCATCTATTAGTGGACAGCATCATCTCCTGGAAGCCGAGTCCAGCTCCCATGTATAATCTAATGAAGCATGTCTCAGATCCTCACCCGAGTGTTTGTCATTACCTAAGCACTGCAGTCAATCATCATCTACCCCCGCCGGGGCTCCCATCTCCCGTGGAGCTGCTTATGTCACCCCTCCCGTCCGGGCCCCAACTTCCTTGTTTTGACCCAGTGCGATTCCACAGTCCCCTACGTATGGATTTATTCGAACTTCAACAGCCCTGTGCAATCTGTAGGTTTATGAGTTAGTTCTATATTGTAAGTAAACTCGACGCTGTGTGTCTGTGTTAACCTCTGGCAACCCCCAAAAAATCCTGAAGATTCCTGGAGCTCCTTTCTCAGGCTTTCTGCAA